TGCAGGAGGAGGCAGCTCAGCGATTCTCTCTCATCACTGATGTTTCTATCTCTCCCTCTCCTTTCCTCTCTGAAATCAATGACAATATATTAAAAACAAAACCACGATCTAAGCATATGTTAAAAAAAAAATTAACGGAGTAAAAAAGTGAAACAGGTTCTTTACTTAAAGATGCCTTGGAGCCCTTAATTTGTCATTTTGTGTTGGGATTCCCTAAGAATGAGTGTAGTATAGAGTCTTTCTTAAACTTTTTAAATTAAAGAACAAGGGTTTGGCCCTGACCGGTTTGGCTCAGTGGATAGAATCTCGGCCTGCAGACTGAAGGGTCCTGGGTTCGATTCCGGTCAAGGGCATGTGCCTTGGTTGTGGGCACATCCCCAGTAGGGAGTGTGCAGGAGGCAGCTGATCGATGTTTCTCTCTCATCGATGTTTCTAACTTCCCTATCCCTCTCCCTTCCTCTCTGTAAAAAATCAATAAGATATATTTAAAAAAAATAAAAATAAAAGAGAAGGAACTTTAAAAAAAAAACTATAGACAAGGCTTCAGATTCAAAATCCTTTTTATTTATCATCCACGGTTGTACATTGTGCTTTCTTTTTCATGGCAAACATCCAAGCATTTCCACTCTATCATGGATTAAAGGAAAATTTTCAGCTAGTTTGGGAACTTAACCATTAAAAAGTGCCCTGCCCCCTCCCTCTCCCTCTCCCTACACGGAACCCGGAGCTCTGCAGCTGCCTCGGGGCCAGGAAGACCCAGTAGGACGGGTCCCAAGGGGTTGCTGCTCAAAGAGGTTTGCAAACGCCAAAGCTCAGTGCACGAACCCATAATGGTATTCCTGGTGTGAGTGAGGCTGCGGCCCTACTTGGAAGAATCCTGTAACAGTAGACTCCACTGCGTTTCTTTATCGGAGCAGGAATCTGCGTGTAGCTTTTAGATCGGATTTCTAGAATTCTCCATTCTTTTTTGTTGTTGCTTTTTTTTTGTTGTTGTTAATCCTCATCTGAGGATATTTTCCCATTGATTTTTAGAGAGGGGGAGAGACTGAGAGAAAAATCGATGTGAGAGAGACACATTGATTGGTTGCAAACCTGCAACTGAGGTACGTGCCCTTGACCTGAATCGAACCCAGGACCCTTCCGTCTGAGGGCTGATGCTCTAACCACTGAGCTACCGGCCAGGGCTGGAATTCTCCATTCTTAAGGAGCAGTTTCCAGAATAACCAGGGTTCTCTCTGATTGGCTGTCCTGAGGATGGGCTGGGGGGCAGGAGGGAATGAAGGCTCATGCTGACCAGCAGAAGGTGGAGGGAGCCCAGAATCTTTGAGAAGTCAGTCCTTTTGGGGGCGAATCCTGGGGACCAGACGCCTCTGGAATAGAGAGCTCCGTCCTCTACGAAACCTTAGGTCAGTGGTTCTCAACCTTCCGGCCCTTTAAATACAGTTCCTCATGTTGTGACCCAACCATACAATTATTTTCGTGGCTACTTCATCACTGTAATGTTGCTACTGTGATGAATCGTCATGTAAATATCTGATATGCAGGATGGTCTTAGGCGACCCCTGTGAAAGGGGCGTTCGACCGCCAAAGGGGTCGCGACCCACAGGTTGAGAACCGCTGCCTTGGGTTGTTATACAACGGGCTGTAATTAATATCACCCCGGCTCGGAGAGACATCCCATCATGCTAATGAAAAATGAAAGCCACCTGGGCTCAGTGCCCAGCGCCTGCAGACACTTGCCAGGCCAGGAGCCACCAGCAGAGGGCGCTCACGGGGACCTGAGGTGCCCCATGCCAATCATTGCCCATGGTGCCAGCCACCTGTAGGAGAATGCAGCCCTGGCCCACCTGGTCCTGTTCAGCCAGAGCAGGGCAGGTACCCGGAGTCCTGCTGCCCCAGGCGATGTGAGCCTTTCAGAGGGGAGGCCTGGGAGGGTTGGGGGCCTGGGGTGATGCAGAGCAGGGAGGCATAGCCAGGACTTTCTCCACCTCAGAGAGTTGCTGTGGTGGGATTCATGTATGAACCACACATGATAGGCACTTGTAATCAATGTTTGCCATGAGGATAATGCTGCTGCTGCTGCTGAACTAATTCCTCCTTTGTATCCCCCCCTCTTCACCCAACCCAAACATTTCTACCCTTCACAGCTACTCTTCCTCCGAGAAGCCCTCCAGGATCACTTCGGGCCAGTGGTTTACAAATTGGGGGCCCTTCCGAATCACCTGAGAAGGTGAGAAGTTTGTTCTTGTTGTTGTTGTTTTAATGTTCTTATTGATTTCAGAGAGAGGAAGGGAGAGGGAGAGATAGAAACATCGATGAGAGAGAATCATCGATTGGCTGCCTCCTTCATGCCCCCTGTTGGGGATCGAGCCCACAACTGGGGCATGTGCCCTGACGGGGAATTGAACCGGTGACCTCTTGGTTCCTGGGCCAACACTCATCCACTGAGCACAACACTGGCTGGGCTTGAATCTCTTTAAATTATTTTTTCTACTTGGCATAAAGGTTCAATGTTATTCTTTTGCATGTGGATAGCCACTTTTCCCAGCACCATTTATTGAAGAGATTGCCCCTTTTCCCATCCAGTGGCCTGGGCACTCTTGGGGTAGATCATTTGATCATATATGGCTATTTAGGGTCCCTTAACTTGAATGGCAATATAGACTAATTGCTCTGGCTAGAACCCCCAGTACTATGTTGACTAACAGTGGTAGGAATGGGCATTCTTGTCATGTTCCTGGTTTTAGGGAGTTTTCAGTCTTTCCCCATTGATTGAAATGTTCCCTGCAGGCTTGTTATAAATACACTACCGGCCCTCTCGCAATCCGGGACCCCTTGGGGGATGTCGGACTGCCAGTTTCAGCCCGATTCCCCGCAGGCCAGGCCGAGGCACCCCACCGGTGCACGAATCTGTGCACCAGGCCTCTAGTATGCATATAAGATCTTTGGTTAATCTCTTCCTGTCCTCCCCCCTGCTCCCTTCCCTCTGAGATTCATCAGTCTGTTGCATGGTTCCATGCCTGTGCGTTGAGCGTCTGCCCCCTGGTGGTCAGTGTGCATCATAGGTACTGGTTGGACGGTCAGATGGTTGCTTAGGCTTATATATAGAGAGATAGCCTTTATTATAGTAACACCCCCATACACACACACCACAACCTCAATCCACAATTTCACTTTCCAAGGTTTCAGTTACCCACGGTCAACTGTGATCTGAAATTATTAAATTGAAAATTCCAGAAATAAATAATGCATCCGTTTGAGATGGTACCCTTTCTGAGCAGTGATGAGATCTCACGTGACCTGCTCATTCCCGCCTGAGATGTGAAGCATTCCTCCGTCCACGCTGTGAGGCTCTGCCCTGTAGTCACGTGCCGTCTTGGTTATCACGACTGATGGCAGGGCTGGTGTGCGCATGACCCTTGTTTCACTTATAAGGGCCCCACAGCGCAGGAGCAGTGATGCTGGCCATTCGGATATGCCCCACAGAGAAGCCGGAAAGTGTATGTATGTGTAGGAAAAAGCGTAGTATATACGTAGGTTCAGTACTATCCCTGGTTTCAGGCATTGACTGGGGGTCTTGGAACATATCCCCTTTGGATAAAGGGTGACTAATGTGTTGAGCTAGTTTCTTTTTATTCTGAGTTTGTTGTGTTGCTGTTTTGTTTTGTTGTTGTTGTTTTTTTATCATAAAACTGTTGAATTTTGCCAAAAGCTTTTTCTGCATCAGTTGAGATGATTGTGTGGTTTTTGCCCTTCATTCTGTTCATGGGGAGTATGTATTACGTTGACTGATTTTTTAAAAATATTTTTTAAATTGATTTCAGAGAGAAGAAGGGAGAGGAAGAGAGAGAGAGAGAGAGAGAGAGAGAGAGAGAGAGAGAGAGAAGCATCAATGAAGAAAATCATTGATTGTCTGCCTCCTGCACACCCCCTACTGGGGAACGAGCCTGCAACCCAGGCATGTGCCCTGACCGGGAATCGAACTCTGACCTCCTGGTCCATGGGTCTACATTCAATCATTGAGCCACACCTGGCCGGGCATGTTGACTGATGTTTGTACCTTGGATCATTCTTGCATTTCAGGAATAAACCCCACGTGGTCATGGTGTATAAGGCCCCCCCCGCCCTTTTATTTTGGTTAATCCTCACCCAAGGGTATTTTTCTTTTTCTTTCTTTTCTTTTTTTTTTTAAATATATTTTATTGATTTTTTACAGAGAGGAAGGGAGAAGGATAGAGAGTTAGAA